GGATGAGGCGCTGGGATGAGGAGCTGGGATGAGGCGCTGGGATGAGGTGCTAGGATGAGGCGCTGGGATGAGGCATTGGGATGAGGCACTGGGATGAGGCGCTGGGATGAGGTGCTGGGATGAGGCGCTGGGATGAGGCATTGGGATGAGGCGCTGGGTTGAGGTACTGGGATCAGTGCTGGGATGAGGCATTGGGATGATGTATTAGGATGAGGTGCTGGGATGAGGCGCTGGGATGAGACGCTGGGATGAGGCGCTGGGATGAGGCACTGGGATGAGATGCTGGGATGAGGTTGGGATTGCGTTGAATGTGGGACAAGAGAACAGAGGTTAGTGGTAAGTGGCAGGGTGAGGATGGAGAAGGATGTGACAGGGTAGGGGACAGAGAGCATTACTTTCAGTTTAAAAGAGGAGAGGGAGCTTCACTCTGTATCTAGTCTCATGCTGTATCTGTCATGGGAGTGTTTGATGAGGATAGTGTAGATGAAGCTTTACGCTATATTTAACCCCATGCTTTGTCTGTTCTGGGAGTGTTTGATGGGGATAGTGTAGAAAGTGATGGAATGGAATAGAAAGTGATGGGGCTGGTTTAGTAAATAGAGTCATAGAATCACACAGCATGGAAACAGACCCTTTGGTGCAACGTCTCCATGCTGTTTCTACAACTAAACTAGTCCCATTTGCCCACCTTTGGCCCATATCCATCTAAACCTTTCCTATTCACGTACCTATCCAAATATCTTTTCAATGTTGTGACTGTACCTGTATCTACTATTTCCTCTGGCAGTTCATTCCGTATACAAACCACCCTCTGTGTGAAAAAGTTGCCCCCACCTCCCTTTTAAATCTTTCTCCTCACCCCTTAAAATATGCTCCCTGGCTTTGAAATCACCCACCCTTGGTAAAAGTATTTTGCTATTCACCTTATCTATGCTTCTCGTGATTTTAGAAACTTCGATAAGGTCACTCGTTAACCTCCTATGCTCCAGTTAAAAAACATCCCAGCCTATCCTTATGACTCAACCCCTCCATTCCCAGCAACAGCCTGGTAATTCTTTCCAGAATCCTGTCCAATTTAATTAACATTTTTGCTATAGCAGGGTGACCAGAACTGTGCAGAGTATTCCAGAAGAGGCCTCACCAACCTCCTGTATAATCTCAACATGATGTCCCAACTCATATACTCAATGGTCTGTGCAATGAAGGCAAGCGTGCCAAACACCTTCTTAACCAGCCTGCTTATCTGTGACGCAACTTTCAAAGAAGTATGTACCGAACCTCTCTGTTTGATAGCACTATCCTTACCATTAATTTAATAAGTCCTGCGCTGGTTTGTTTTAACAAAATGCAATACCTTGCATTTATCCAAATTAAATTCCATCTGCCACTCCTCAGCCCATTGGCCCAGTTGATCAAGATCGCTTTGTAATCTCAGATAACTTCCTTCATTGTCAACTACACTACAAATTTTGGCATCATTGCAAACTTACTAGCCTCCTAACTTATCATCCAAATCATTTACACAAATAACAAAACAAAAGTGGACACAGCGCTGATCTCTGCGGAACACTGCTGGACACAGGTCTCAAGTCCGAAAAATCCTCCAATACCACCCTCTGACTCTTACTGCCAAGCCAATTTTGTAACAAATTGGCAAGCTCTCCCTGAATCCCAGGTTACTAATTAGTTTACAATGCGGAACCTTGTCAAAGTCTTCACCGAAAAGTGATGGGGACAGTGTAGACAATGATGTAAATTGTGTAGAGAGTGATGATGATGGAGTAGAGAGTGATGGGGATGGTGTAGAGAGTGATGAAGATGGAGTAGAGAGTGATGGGGACAGTGTAGAGAGTGATGGGGACGGTGTACAGAGTGATGGGGATGGTGTAGAGAGTGATGGGGATGGTGTAGAAAGTGATGGGGAAGGTGTGGAGAATGATGGGATGGTGTAGAGAGTGATGGGGATAGTGTAGAGAGTGATGGGGATGGTGTAGAGAGTGATGGGGACGGTGTCAAGAGTGATGAGATGTAGTAGAGAATGACAGGAATGGTGTAGAGAGTGATGAAGATGGAGTAGAGAGTGATGGGGATGGTGTAGAGAGTGATGAGATGTAGTAGACAATGACAGGAATGGCGTAGAGAGTGATGAAGATGGAGTAGAGAGCGATGGGGATGGTGTAGAGAGTGACAAAGGTGGAGTAGAGAGTGATGGGGATAGTGTAGGGAGTGATGGGGATGGTGTAGAGAGTGATGGGGATGTTGTAGAGAGTGATGAAGATGGTGTAGAGAGTGACGGGGATGGTGTAGAAAGTGATGGGGATGGTGTAGA